GATGGTCGTGATACAAACCTTCAAGTTCTGCCGTTAGGAATAGAGACGGTGTCATTGAGTAAATGAGACTGCAAAGGAGTGATCATGTGTGTTGTAGAGTATACATAAAGCGTTCAATTCAACAAATGATCTTTAAATTATTGTAAAGTAATCATAAGGAAAAAATATACACAGGCTGGAAGGAAACTAGCCAGGAAATTCTAGAAAACATCCAATTATAAATCCTTCATACAACATTTTTCTTGTAAGTACTAAGCTTTAAAAATTACAGAACAGGAACACCCCTGCAGAATGGGAAAGTTCATGTCCCTTGAATTGTACACAATTAGTAATCTTTCACAGTGAGACATGGAAGAATGGATGCAGTGGACAAATTCCCCAGGAATTTAAATTAAGACAGAGAGTTTCTTTAGAAAGTCAAGCAATAGATGTTGAGTATTGTATGGAAAACATGTATTTGATTAGATCTGAATCTTTGAATTTCATTGGATTTTTTAAACCAAATTCTAACAGTATGTAATGATCCCTTCCATTTATGAAGTCATAGGACTATTTTAGGGGATAACCTATTTGTCATTTATTACTGAATTGTGGTATGGCTTATGCTGTTGTCTTTGTTACCTAATTTACACCCTTGTCTGATATTTCTTATGTGTACATATTGTCATTCAATTATAACTTCCAGGACTGGCAATCTTTGACTGTCTGTAGCTCCTGAAACATACTAGATCATGAGTGCTTACGAACAGATTAGCTGTATGGCTTTTTGACGGATATGAAGAAAGAGTGAGTGGATGTCAGGGTTAAGAAAATAATCCCAGTCTTCTAACTATAATCATTTGAGAAATGATCAGTGTACACTTTAATAAAATATCCACAGGCACTAAACAGCACAATGCTATTTGGAGCAGGTTCTCTACAAGCATTTGTTCAGCTTAAATAGATTGATAATCTAGTGCCTCTTTCCAGGAAAATACAAACTGACCAGGTTGAAAGATGTAAGGTGAGGTACGGGAATAGCAAAAAGTGAATTGCTTTTTAAGCTATGTTAAAATTCAACTCAACTAACTCAGCTCTTTACAAACAAAAATACTTAATAGGTCCATGGTGAACAAACAAATCAATGAATTTAGACTAAACTGTATGTTTGGATTTGCTTGTTTGCTTCATCTGAAACAGTCATAATAAAAATTTTCAGAACTTAATTTCTTATGGCTACAGAGTCAGTAACAGTCTCAGAATGATACTCAGCTTTAACACGCCTTTAATGGGATGCTTAAGTAATCATGGCAATTTAATTAAAAGGGCAGTCATCTTTTGAAACAGCTATTGTTTCTTAGAGAGTGTTACTTAATGTTACATTTGTGCAGTTACCTAATGTTTCCACTCACTGAGGTTTGTTTGTTTACATTTTAAAAAAATTATACAGTCTTCAACTTACCTCTAGACTTCATTCCAAAAGTTTTCTCAAAATACGTAATCACTCCTTTCCTCCCTCTCCAAACATAGTGATGTTTTTCAGAGTTGTGTAATTCACCTTTTCTATTGCTGATTTAAATATTCTCTCAGTGACCTCTTTGCCCCACAACACTTCAACTGCCTAACCTATCAGCTCCTGACAAAATTATTACAATTCCTTTCTCTCTCGTTAGCTCTAGATTCACTTTTTCAGTCTGACATGCCATGCATACTTTGAAGACAACCTGCCTCCAATCAAAGTCATTATTTTCTCCTCCTTATTCTCTTGGATTTCCCTCTTGTTTAATGATATCATAACATAATTGATCACAAAGACCAGATCCTTGGAGTCATACTTAGTGGTTTCTCATTGCTTCGATACTTACATCAAATCAGTACAAAACTCCATTGATTCTAATTCAGAGATTCTACCTTAGCTCCAACTGCTCCTCTTCAGCACCAGTAGCCCTGCCCCAGTTATCATTTCCCACTGCCCATTCCAGTACCTCCTAGCTGGGCTCATTGCCTCCTGTTCTTCCCACTTCAGCCTGCCCTCTGTGTCAGTGGTCCTCATCTGTCTTCCTTCCATGGAGTGCAATGCTCATACATGAGACATATTCCTATGGACCAGTCAGAGATCGAAGAAATAGAAAGATTTAGTGAGGAAGTTTCGTATTTTAATTATTCATAGTCTTCCACAGGCCTTGCAGAGCCACTTGCAATCTGACCCTTGTCGCCATCTCCTCTTTGCTGCCTCTTTCTGCTGCTCTCATTCATTGACTCTCCTGGCCCTTTCCTGCCCTTTCCCATGCTGTCATCCTTTTGACCTCAACTATATTATACCAGTTTAGGGTGGCTTTCCCTGATCACTTCTCAATTTAAATTAAATTCCTTTGCTCTTCCACACAGGGCTCATTATAATTTATAATGATGTATTTCTTCTGCTGCTTCTGCTTCTGCTTAGTCCTCCTTCTTCCTCTTCTTCCTCTTCCTTTTTCTTCCTCTTCTCCTTCCTCCTCTTCTTCCTCTTCCTCCTCCTCCCACTTCCTCCTCCTCCTCTTCTTCTTTCTTCCACTTTCTCCCCTTCCTCCTCCTTATTCTTCCTCTTTCTCTTTCTCCTTCTCCTCCTCCTCCTGTTCCCCTTCCTTCTCCTCTTTTTCTCCTTTCTTGTTATTTGGCATTAAGCCTGATTTACTCACAATATTTCTGAACTCTGTGAGCTTAGAGTAATTCTTTTATTCATCATTGTGTTCACAGTGTCTGCACAGTGTCTAGCAGATGCTGGGCACTCAAGAAATATTTATTGAAGGAATGAATCAATTATCACAACTAGTAGTGGTATGTAAGTAGACTAGCTAACTGTGGGTAGTGACACAGCCCAATCTGTGTATTATGGGCAATTTACCACCTCTGGAATGCATATTATAAGGTTACTAAGAATCCTGCTATTATAGGCATAATTTTGAATGTTATCTAATTTATAAGAAAAATAGTTTTATTTACTAGCACTAGTCATACATCTGCCATACTCATTAGGTCGGATCACAGCACACTGGAAATCTATTGTCTGGTTACCAGACATTTCTTCTTTGGAAAGGCTACCTAAAGCGTAAAGTTCAGCATGTACTTCTCCTGCTGATGAACTTAATAGATTCCCATTGTTTTCAGAATAAAGTCCAAATTATTTGATGTCTTAATTTCTTTGGACTTCCATAATAAATTATTATAGGAGACCAGTGCGGCATTGGTGGCATGTGCCTGAAATCCCAGTTACTCTGGAGGTTGAGGTGGTTGGATCACTGGAGCCTTGGGCTTTGAGGCTACAGTGAGCTATGATCTGGTCATTACACTCCAGCCTAGGTGACAGAGTGAGACCCTCATATATAAAAAAATAAAAATAAAAATTATATACTGGATGGTTTAATCAAGAGTTATTTATTTTTACAGTTCCGGAGGCTGAAGGTCTGATATCAAGGTGCCCTCATGGTCAGACCTGATGAGGGCCCTCTTCCTGGTTCAGTGTCTTTTCTGTGTTCTCACATGACAGATGGTGCAAGGAATCTCTCTGGGGTCTTTTCTGTAAGGGCACTAATCCCATTCATAAGGACTCCGTTCTCATGAGCTAATCACCTCCCAAAAGTTTCATCTCCGAATACTTTCACACTGGGGATTAAGTTTTAACATATGAACATTCAGCCTACAGAACTTGGCATGTCTAACAAAGCCATTCTCAAGCTGGACCTTGTCATTGTTTCCAACTTCAAACCCAGCCAGTCTCTACCAGAGACCATGATCATGCTGGGTGTTTACATACTTTGGCCCCCACCAGGCATGTTCCACATTTGTCCTCATACGGATACATGTTTGCTCTTTAAAATTCAGTGCTCTCAAGCACTTTAGTTATTCCTTCTTCTGTGTTCTGATTGTATTGGATATCCTATTAATTCTATACTTTATTTTCTATTCCATGATAACTTATTGGAATGCCTATTTCCCAGACTAGATTGTAACTCCTGGATTAGACTGTGCATTCCCAATGTTGAACCCAGTGAGTAGAGTATAATAGCATCCAGTAACAGTTGGATGACTGAATGCATTGTGAGTTGTTTGGAAGTAAAAATGCCTTTGCCTATTGAAGCAATGCTATACATGGTGATTTAATTCTCAGCTGACTAAAAAAAAAATCCTGTTTATACCATAATGCAATTGAAACCTATTGCTAATATTGCTTTCTCATCTAGTTTCAGAATGTTCTCTCTCTGTTTCACTGCAGTTGGGGGAACCTCTTTCTTCTCCTCCTACCCCAGGCTAGAGGCAGAGATCTTTTTTATACTTTTCTCTTTTGTCCCTCATCACCTAAGCAGGAGGGGCCAAAAGAAGGATTCTCTGTTTTATTTGCTGTGAAAGGGAGATGGTATTTCTGCCATTTTGATTTTCTTGGTGGAGATGCATGTCAATTGAGAGTTCACATCTTTGGTGTTTGCCTGTGTCTTATACAGTCTTGAAGACCACTTGTCTCATAAGAAATCATTATGCTGATGCATGAGGATCTTGCTGCAGTTCTATTAGCTGTACAATGAAATTAACTTTAAAAGAGATCTACTAGTAAATAAAAGTAGCAAAAAGACCTTGCTACTTCATAAGCATCTCAACTATAAGACATATTCATATTTTATTAATTCTGTCGCTCGTCCATTAGCTTATGTTGCACACATCAAAACAACACTTCTTCTTTCCACCTTTTGACTCTCTTCACACATCTTATATACCTTGATTTTCTTAGATATAGTCACAAAAATAATGTTTAAATTTTGGGAAAGAAACCCATGTCCGAATAGTAATTGATGTCATTTATTTGGTGAATATATTATAATGCAAACACACCCAATTGCTCTTGATAGGTGAGAGTGACACATATTTTGAGAAATAATCTGCTGAATTATGTGCCTTTTATAAAGTAGCTAATTGAGGTTTGCTAATTAAATAAATGCCCTTCCTGAATCACACCCTCTTTTTTTGTTGTTATTTTTGTTTTTAAATAGGTGGTGTCTGCATTGCTCAGTCACAGAAAATCCCACGTGAACCGAGACCTGGAGAATTTGAAAAAATTATCAAACGCCTGCTAGAAACACCTAATGCCCGAGCAGTGATTATGTTTGCCAATGAGGATGACATCAGGTGCTGATTACTTTTCTTCTGTATGTAGGGTCAGATTTGTGTCCCATGTCCTTTCTAACATATTTCATGTTCAACATAAAAGCTTGTAATTCCCTTGCAATAGCAGACTGTCTTCTGCTGCCTTCTAGTTTGTAAATCTGAAATACCTACAGAGTAAAACTAGGGGACTAAAATGAGATAAGACAAACAAGGGTGATAGATGGAATGATTTGAATGAGGTTGTGGATAAGGCTAATTAACATGTGTTGGAGTTAGTCTCTGATATATTTTCTTTAGGAGATGATAAGACTCAGGCAATTAGAATGATCATCTTAATTGTTAAACGGTGACCTACTGAGTGTATACAACTTTCTGAAGCTGGTCTTGCAATATTCATAATTATGGTATTTCTTAATACATGTGATATGCGTTATTTATTTTTATTCCTATAGGAGGATATTGGAAGCAGCAAAAAAACTAAACCAAAGTGGACATTTTCTATGGATTGGCTCAGATAGTTGGGGATCCAAAATTGCACCTGTCTATCAGCAAGAGGAGATTGCAGAAGGGGCTGTGACAATTTTGCCCAAACGAGCATCAATTGATGGTATGAATGCACCATAGAGAATTTGTTTTATTTTAGTAAGATCTAAACTTAAAGGCAAAACTGGAGTATCATAATATGAGAAAATGCATTCATTACTTGATAAAATTTTTAGCTTTGATGGCAGAGTTGTCAAAACCAGTATTTAACCCAGCGTGTGTGTGTGTGTGTGTGTGTGTGTGTGTGTGTGTGTGTGTGTGCATATATGGATAAGAAGCTTTATGGGCTACTGGCTTTTTCTTATTTGTTATGTTTTTTTCTTTTTTCAGGCAGTGATTACAACATAATGTCCATTTGAAAGTTCTGACAATATTTACTTCTGAAAGAATATTAAAAGCATATCTTTCTCCTTTAAAATAGGATTTTATCAATATTTTAGATATATATATATTCTAAAAAATCAGTGCTATAAATGATGATTTAATTCTTAGCTGACTCAAATCCTGTTTATACTATAATGTAATTGAAATCTAGTGCTAGTATTGCTTTCTCATCATATTATATATATATATATAATTTATATATATAAATATCATTACATTTACATATATATACATTTACATATATATATATATATATATATGAAGAGAGAGAGAGAGAGAGAGAGAGAGAGAGAGTGTGTGTGTGTGTGTGTGTGTGTGTGTATTTAGGAAAGAGTACCCACTGGATATTTTTTAAGAAAAAGACCACAGTCAGTTATTTCCATTATGTTAGTAATTGCACTTTGAGTTTGAGTTTGCATATTTTCTTGGGCATTTGTGGTGGCTATAGCATTGTTGGAGGGAAAATGCTTGATTTATAGAAAATGAATATATGATGCTTATCCTATAGATAAATAAATGCAACAGGAAAGACTTGGAGCACCCTGAAAGGCAGTCTGTCTTCTAAATGTCTTTTCCAATTGATTTAACAGTAACTGAAATTCCCACTTTTAACATTATCCTTTGGAGTAAGGCATTATTTCTAGGGGGTCTTCCTTCAGTAAAATGGTTACCTGAGCAAACTGACACTTTAGTTCACTTACCCATGACTCCATAATATTACCTTAACACAATTGCTTTATTGAATTACCTGAAAACAGAACAAATAGAAGAGAGAAATTTTGAAGTACGTGGAAATATAGGAATGTCTGGAACATTGATGCATGCTAGGAAAGAGAGAAAAGAATTAGGGAAGTTTAAGTCGGGTTCTGAGTATTCAGGATTCAGCATAAAGTCACTGTCTGCTTCCTGCAGGAGAAGTAGAGTAGGAGAGGATATAAGAAAGACACTGACGGCTGGTCACGGTGGCTCACGCCTGTAATCCCAGCATTTTGGGAGGCCAAGGCAGGTGGATCACCTGAGGTCAGGAGTTTGAGACCAGCCTGGCAACGTGGTGAAACCTCGTCTTTACTAAACAATACGAAAACTAGCCAGGTGTGGTGATGGGCGCCTGTAATCCCAGCTACTCAGGAGGCTGAGGCAAGAGAATCGCTTGAACTGGCTAGGTGGAGATTGTGATGAGCCAAGATTGCGCCATTGCACCTTAGCCTGAGTGACAGAGTGAGACTACATCTCAAAAAAAAAAAAAGACACTGACACCAGGCTTTCCTGTTGTACTCATTCATGGAACCAGGTGCTTGAGTAGTAGTGGTGTCGGAGGGGCGGGGGGGGCGGGGCGTGGAATTGTCAATTGATCCTCTTTGGCTTTTGCCATAAGAAAAGCCTTATTTATAGGCTACTGTCTTTCTCTCATTTGTTATGTGGTTTTCTTTTTCTTTTCATGCAGTGATCACAACATAATGTTCATTCAGAAGTTCTGACAGTATTTAATTTTTGGAAGAATATTAAAATCATACCTTTCTCCTTTAAAATAGGATTTGATCGGTACTTTAGAAGCCGAACTCTTGCCAATAATCGAAGAAATGTGTGGTTTGCAGAATTTTGGGAGGAGAATTTTGGCTGCAAGTTAGGATCACATGGGAAAAGGAACAGTCATATAAAGAAGTGCACAGGTAACCTCTCAAATATTTTCTGTGGTGTGTTTGTTTTCATCATTACCTGATAAATGAGATTTTTCTACATGATGATGAGTGTATTTTCTATTTTGTTGTGTCTCTTGTTATAGTGTCTCAGCAGGGCTGAACATATACTAATCATTCAACAAACTTAAATTTGTTTATTGGTTCTTTCAGTCAATCAGCAAGTATTTATTGAACATATGCCATGTATATAGCACTGGGGTATCTGGAAAACATGTATTGTCTACTTTGGAAAATGTACTTTATTAGGTTTGATGGAATATAGACCAATAAACAAGACATAGTATTGCTCTCCAGGAATGCAAAATGTAATATGTAACATAATAAGTTGTTCTAAGACAGTATTTTTCAACTGTTTTAATCTCTGTCCTCTGTAATACTATTATTTTCTCAAATCCTGCATAGCAGCTATCCCAGAACATGTGTGATTTTTTGATGCTTCACTTGTCATAGCTGATGCTTAAAAATGATATTGAATGTGCATTTTTGAATATATGAATAAAACTATTTATTATTAGATAATATGATTGTGCACATAGGAAAAAAACACATAATTTTTTTTTTTGAGGTGGAGTTTTGTTCTTTTGCCCAGGCTGGAGTGCAGTGGCACAATCTCAGCTCACTGCAACCTCTGCCTTCTGGTTTCAAGTCATTCTCCTGCCTCAGCCTCTTTAGTAGCTGGGATTACAGGTGCCCGCCACCACGCCTGGCTAATTTTTGTATTTTTAGTAGAGATGGAGTTTCACGATGTTGGCCAGGCTGGTCTTGAACTCCTGACCTCGTGATACGCTTGCCTTGGCCTCCTGAAGTGCTGGGATTACAGGCACAAGCCATCGTGCCCAGCCCAGAATCACATAATTTTAACAGTTACTTAGAACTGAGTAGTAAATTTATCAACGTTACAGATATGAAGTCAATATAAACATTCATTTTTAATATGCATGTTAGAAACTAACACGGAAAACGAAATTTAAAGAATACTGTTCATAGCAGGATCAAAAACCTACAACATTAGGGTCGATTTTAACAAAAATGCACATATCCTTTACACTGAAAACTACACAACTTGAATGTGTGTTTTAGAAATGATTCATTCCTTCCTGTACCCCAGCATCCCCAGATTTTGATATGTCCTTCTTTACCCTCCTCCTCACTTTCTTTGTAAATAGCTGTTCAAATAAAAGATGTACTATGCTAAAAGCTAGCACAGACATATAAACAGAGACAGAATAAGGAGGTAGAAATGGGGCCACGCTGTGTGGGAATCTGATTTCAGGCTTCCTGTGTGCCAGGCATTTTTCCAGGAGCTGAGGTGAGTGAAGAAAGGCAATATTCATGCTCAAGGGGCTTACATTTCATTGTGCAGAGATGGACACTCCATAATAAACATAAATGAACAGATGCGTTCAGATGCTGAGCTATGCTTAGAACAAATACAACAATTTAACTATCAAAGACTAACCTGGGCATTAGGAGGAGGAAGGCAATTAGATAGTGTGGTCTGAGTGTGCTTTGCTAGAGGAGGTAACATTTGAGATAAGACCTGAGTGACAAGAAGTGGTCAGTTGTGTAAAGATATGACAGAAATGTATGACAATATCTAGCACCAGAATAAGGCTCTTTTGTTCAAAGTAAAGAAAAAAAAGAAAAGAAATGCTCAGAGAGGTTGGATCAAGAGTGAATATCGAGAGAGAGGAGGCTTGATGGCAGCCAAGGCTATAGTGATAGACTGGAGCCAGGTCATGCACGGTCTTGAAGCTCTTTCTAGAAGTTCCAGAGTTGAGGAATTTGGGCTTTATTCTGCCAGTAGGACACAATGACTCGAAGCTTTTCATCTAGAGAATTGCTCAGACACTTGGTTCAAGATTTGCCTGGCAGAGGTGTGAGGAGGATTGGGGTTCAGGGGAGAAGATGAAGGCAGTTCAGTGAGAACTCATCCAGTATCCTGGAGACAAGAAGTCATGGTCTAAGAAGAGCTAGCTAGGGGCTGGGTGTGGTGGCTCATGCCTGTAATTCTAGAACCTTGGGAGGCCGAGACAGGCAGATTGCCTGAGCTCAGGAGCTCGAGACCAGCCTAGGCAACACGGTGAAGCGTGTTTAGTCAAGACGATCCACTAAAAAAAAAAAAAAAAAAAAACTGGGCATGGGAGCATGCACCTGTAATCCCAGCTACTCGGGAGGCTGAGACAGGAGAATTGCTTGAACTTGAACCCGGGAGGCGGAGGTTGCAGTGAGTGGAGATTGCACCACTGCACTCCAGCCTGGGTAACAGAGACAAACTCCATCTTAAAAAAAAAAAAAAAAAAAAAAAAAAAAGCTAGCTAGGGATAGGGATAGAACACACACAGGACAGACGCATTCTGGTAGTTAGTGTTATATTTATAGTACAAGCTGAGTGGTTGATGCTGGGGCAAAGATCGTAAGTCATAGAGTATGCTAATGTTAAAACCCTATAAAGGAGGTCTAGGAAAATGCTGATGTAATTAGTTAACAGAGGAAAAATGAGATAAAATGAACCATCCAGTATTTGGAAATAAACTTGAATGTTGTTCTGAGATAGCCCCATGGAACTGGCCAGCAGGTGGCAGCATAATGTCTGGGACCCCACAGAGAGTTCACTAAAATTTGAAATTAGGGAATCTTAGAGATTTTGAAGTTAAAGACAAGAGCAAAGATGCAATTGCCAAAGGGGACTGAGAAAATACGAGGAGTGATGACTGAGAATTCAAGGTCAGGAACCAGGAAAGGACACAGAACGCTGGGTTTGCGGGAAGGAGATGAACGTGGAGTTAAAATTGTCTCAATCTCCAGGAGTAAGACAGGTGCGTGAAGTTTCAGTGCTGCAGGGACCTGTGGCCCAGAGATAAGGCTGTGACAGGGTAACCAAATGGGAGGGATTGAGAGAGAACAGAATAGAGGAAATGGAGGAAGGGATGCTGTGTCAAGAAGTTTTCAACGTAGATATGGTGGGAGAACTTAAGAAAGAATCGAGGAGATTTCTTTAGGATAGGGCATGTTTAAGCATGTTTTCAAAAAACATATAAGGGATAACTAGTGAAAGAGATTAAATACAGAGTAGGATCTTGATGGAAACTTTAAGGAGAGGCATTAAAGAGCAATGTTACCTTTAAATCATGTGATTTGCTTGGCAGGAAAAGGTACATACAAACATATACATAATCAAAGAGGACAGCTTTATGATTAAATGCTAAATGTCAGTATAGATTAGGGAAGTTCAGAAAATGTATGTAAGTTCACACTGTAAAATCCGCAGCTCTGTGGAGGAGGTGAGTGTTTGATCACAAGAAGGATTTGGGAAAGAACATTCCAGATGAGAGGAAAGTGGGGGTCAGTGCGACAGAGACGTGATATGGAGGTGCATGAACAGCTAAAAAGGTCCAGCTTCTTGGAGAGGGCAATACATGTCAAGGGATAATGGAAAATAGAGAGAGGACAGTTTATAGAAGGGTTTGGAAGGGGAGTTTACACACTTATGTGCTTTCCAGTGAGATATATTTTACACTGTGCTTAACTTTGAGTTATGAATGTTATTGTTTGATTCTCTATAAATTCATTTTCTGTTATTTAGACTGTATTCATGAAAATATCCCCATTAATGAAATGGATGAACTCATACATGCCACACACACTGTTAACCAGTCACATAACTTTTTAATAGGTTGTTTTCAGAATAACCAGTTTCTCCAAACTTATATTTTCTTTCTTTCTTTTTTTTTTTAACTCATAAGTGGGAGTTGAACAATGAGAACACATGGACACAGGGAGGGGAACATCGCACACTGGTGACTGTCAGGGCGTTGCAGGCAAGGGGAGGGAGAGCATTAGGCCAAATACCTAATGCATGCAGAGCTTAAAACCTAGATGGCTGGTTGATAGGTGCAGCAAACCATGGCACATGTATACCTGTGTAACAAACCTGCATGTTCTCCACATGTATCCCAGAACTTCAAGTAAAATAAAAAACAAACATACTCATATTTTCTAAGTTGAGCTGAGGTATGTAGCTGTTTCTTTAGCATCTATATATGGTCAGATGGCATGTGACTAGACTTTTATTTCAGGTGCAAGTACTGAACTGGTTTGTGGCCAAATCCAGATTTTGTGGCATGCCTGCCTTCAATTCCTTTGATTTATTTGGGTGTTGCTAAAATTATAACAATTTGCCCAATTATAACTATTTCTAGTGCAATGAAAATGGTGTTTACTCCAAGTGCTAGGGCAAATGTACCCCTAGGGAACTGGGTCAGTAAACAGATTTTCATGCAAATTCCATTGTGGGTGATACCAAAATAACTTGTCTCTGGGTTGAGAAGAAATAAGTAACACTAATTTAATTTTTTTGAAGCAACATATGACAGTTTCCAGGTGGTGAGAGAAGAAATTTGTGCCCCAAATTATACCATTATACCCAGTTTCCATCTCTGTTTTTGGGGAGGAGGGAAGATGATCTAGCATGTTAGCGGTTAAATGTACTTGAAAGGAAAAATCTACAGGATATTCATGAGTAGAGGTGTCCAGCGTTTGTAAAGTGTTTTAAAAGGTGGCCTTAAACAGTTCAGGTTTTAACTACCTGCAATTAGTCAAAAAGTTAAGGCACTCTGAAAGTGAGATATCCATGAGGCCCTTTTTGTGCATTCAGAACATCATTGGTAGGCTTATACGTGTTTGAGTAAAATTTTACATTAGGTGACGGTAATCTGTGAATGTAATTATTTACTTCCATTGGGGGCAATATTGGCAATGTATTTACATGGATGAGAGATTGCTTCTCAGTAGGGTGGGGTTTCTGTCTTACCAATTTTCCGCAGATAGAATATCTTCAAGCAGTTAGGAGCATTCTCTTCGTGAAATTTACTCAGTTGAAGCCGTTTTCTGAGATAATTTTCCCCTCTAGAATCTCAGGAAAGCTTTCAAAAAGACGTGATATTACTGCTAACTTTTGATTTGCTGGC